ATACAAATGTGCTGTGATAGTTCCTATTAAAAAAACAAAGCAGAGCTTTCCTTTACTTCACATTCCTTTCCAGCTACCACCCAACTTCTCTACTACCCTGTCTCCAATTCCTCACCTCCATTCGTGCTTGAATCTACTACACTACAGTTTTTGTCCCCATTATCCCACAGAATCCATTCTTGTCAAGGTCACCAATAGCCACCATATGGTCCAATTCAGTGATCATTTCTCAGTTTTCATCTTATTTATCTATTTATTTATTTTGGCAGCTGGCTGGTACCAGTCTTCACCTTATTGATCAGACAGCAGCATCTGGCCAGATACTGGGGGCTACATCTTACTACAATTAGTTGGCACATCAACCAATCAGTAATTATTTTATTTATTATGCATTAATGTACATCATTCATTTGTACATTCACAAGGTATTCATTCATTCATTGGATCGTATTTATTGAGTGCCAGGCACCCTTTTATGTACTGGGGTAACAGCAGCAAACAAAGCAGGTCTCTGCCCTCAGAAAATTTATCATCCACATCTTAAAAAATATGAGCACTTGTCTTAGGTAAATGTAATGAAAACCAGTTAGGAAGTGGAAGTTTCCATATTAAAGTACTCAGTACTGGAGTCTCCTAAATCCTTAGAAAGAATACTAACACCCCATTGTGGAATATACTATAAAGCATATGTACTTCACAGGGCCTGGTTTTCCAAAACCTTGCAGTTTCAAATATTGACCTTGTAGAGGACTGGAAATTTTCCCCAGGCTATTGAGTCTCTGTTGCAAGATAAGAATTGTGGTACAGCAAGGTTGCTGGCTCAAGGACAGATTAGTTACTGATGGAAATGTAAAGATACTGGAAAATTTTCTGGAGGAAGAAGGAATGTTTGCTAAGATCAAGCTTTTGTTAATTGCCTTACTGGAATGTCATCTGGCTTGTTTCACTGAAAGTTACCAGCTTATATTGTTAAATTATAACCCTACCTATGTCTCTTCCTTTAACTTCCTGGTCTGGAAAATAAATGCAGGAAGAGAACCCCAATTCAGGGATAATTTCCCGAGGAAGGGTTGCCTCTTGCTGGAGGGTCCCAAGGAAGTTAACCACTTTGGAGCTTCTCACTGCTCAGAAGAGATGGGCTTTAAGTAATCCTTTGCATCTCTGTCACCCAGGGAAAGTGGGGTGACAAATCCGTGGGGGGCAAAGCAACACAAAGCAACACCCCATGACAGATTGGGCCCAGCAAAGGAATCAAAGAGGTGTGGCCCACCACAGGGAGGGCATCTTTCTTCTTTCCTACTAGTGCTGGGCTGGCTCGATGGAATCTGGCCAAGTGCAGCAGACAGAAGAATAATCTGCTGGAATTTTTGTCTGTAGTGTCAGAGCAAGGATTCACTATTATCTCCAGAAGAGCATGAATTAATTAACCATCATAACAAAACAGGGTCTGCTCTATCCAGATTCTCAGGACTGTATAAACCCTAGAAGATACAACTTCCTTTGAATTTAGAATATGTCCAAAAGGCAAACAGAGCACACACTAAAAAGGGTTTATTAACTGATTCTCCTCACTTTCTCTTCCTTTCTTTCTTTCTGACCTATTTTGGCCTTTTTTATTTCCTTCCTCTTTTCTCACTAATTTTCATCTGCTTTCCATTTTTAAATTAAATAAGGGCTCCTAGGACCACTGGCTCAGAAAGCCACCATCTAATTGACCATAGGCAGTGGTCCCTGGGACTCTGGGAAGAAAGCTGGCTTTAATTTAAAGCAGGGTTTCCTTCTGACTTTGGGCAGAAGTTTTCTTCTGACTTTCTTCTTCAAGAAGAAGGTGGGTGGGAGCCCGGGGAGAGATTTGGGTCCTATGTTAGTGACCTCAGACTTCGCGGCTCTGTTACAAAGAACAAGAATGAAGTACTGTCTATTGGATCCAGAAAAGAATCAGGAATAGAGTGGATGAGTGTTGTGTTCTATTCTTTGGTATTAACAGACACTTCTTACCTGTTTTTTCAAAAAGGGAAAATCGGAACATGGCAGTGTTTCTGTGTGACTGCCATATTCCTCTTCAGGCAGTAGGTGTCGGCCTCGCACAGCCTTTCTCCTCCTAAATACGTATTCGTAAGAAAACCACGCTTTCCCCCACCCTTTCCCTGGTTAAAGGGATTAATTTCTTCCCATCTTAAGCATGCAAAACAACTGAAATAGTTGCTCAGCTATTGGAAAGAGAGCTGAACTAAGTACTTGAAATACTAAGTACGTCCAAGCCGAGGACGTGTGAAAGAGGTGACAAATTTTGGGGTGGTGGCAGATTAAGTCTTATGGGTCTCACTATTAAGTGCTGGCATCAAGGTGGGTCTCCAGAAGGCACAGTTATGACATCAACTCAAGAACCCATAGGTATGTCCCTGATCAAAAGTCTTATATGTTTCCTTCAGGTGAAAGAAGTTGAGGCATTGACAAGTAGCCATAGAGTCCTGGAAAAAGCATGAGCACTGATATCAGAGTCCATGTGAGCACTGATATCCCGCTTTCCCTGGAATAGATTGTGTCTTTTCTTTGACCTCAGGTAAGACACTCTTCAAGCCTCAGCCTCCTAGTCTTTAAAGTCTTTAAAATAACTGCCTTGTCTACCCAAGATATTTAATAAGGAGGGAAAAAATTGAGATTGTTCATAAAATAGTTTGTAGGCTATAAAGCACTATTTAAATGTAGGGAGTAGAACAAAAATATAAAGGCAAATGCACTGCTCAGAATCTAATAAACTTCCCTTAATAATTTTTTACAGACTTTTCTCAACAAACTACACCAAAACTTTTCTTTCTTTCCTGTGTCCAGTGTTAGTCACATGGTATTTTGACACACCTAAGGGTTTATGTCACAAAAAGATCCCAACCTAAAGAGAGGCACATAATATGAATTTTTATGTCCCTTTTGAAGGAGGGGAGATTCCTTTCCTAACTTTCACATTGCACCATTAATAGACAGTATAAGCCACTTCCAAATTCCAAGTGCTAAAGAAATAGAAATATTAATCTTCAACAACCCTTCCTTTCCACTTTGTTGTACTTAGTACCACTGTATCACAAGAATGTATTTGATCCTGTGAACCCTCCCCCGCCCCCCAGCTTCGTGGTTCACATATTGAGAGGGCTAAAGCTTGCCATATTTGTTATAGGTTTGCACTGATTTTGGCGTGAGACCTCGAATTCATCACATTCATGTTTTATCCCATATTAAGTCTGTATCATTTAAATTAGAACTACAAAACATTACTGAAAGAACTCACATTTGAGAAAGAGAAAGATTATTTGTTTTATACCTTGATGCTAAAATCTAAGCAGAAATCTTCAAATTGGATTATTTAAAAATGAACCCATCAAATTTTTCTCAATGTCAGGAAAGACCAGAGGCAATTCAAAATTTTTTCATTTCCCTTGACTCATCCCCTCCTGCAGAGTTTTGTGCTTTATATTCCCTGCTTTGTCTGTTCTTTTTGTTGAAAATCTTTTTTTTTTTTTTTTTTTAAGATGACTGGTGAGGGGATCTTAACCCTTGACTTGGTGTTGTCAGCACCACGTTCTCCCAAGTGAGCCAGAGGCTGGCCCTTGAAAATCTTTTATACCCTATCCCCCCCCTTTTTCTTTCTTTCTTTCTTTTTTTTTTTTTTTTTTTAAGACGACTGGGGGGGGGATTTTAACCCTTGACTTGGGGTTGTCAGCACCACGCTCTCCCAAGTGAGCCACAGGCTGGCCCTTGAAAATCTTTTATACCCTATCCCCCCCCTTTTTCTTTCTTTCTTTCTTTTTTTTTTTTTTTTTTTTTTTTTTTTTTTTTTTTTTTTGCTGAGGCTTTCAATTTGCTGTATCTTGAACTAGCAGAAGGAGTAGGAGAACTCCCAACCTTTGAAACCTCTTAATATTTGCTGAGTGATCAAGGGGCAGACTGAAAAAAAGACTGCTGATCAGACTTTATCCCACCTGGAAAAGTCTTTTGCTATAATACATCACCCAACCTCATTTTAAGGAATTGAGTATTTATTTTCCTTAAAACCTAAAATCTTTCAGAACATTTTCTAAAAAGTGAGGTCAAATTTCTGTGATTAGTGGGCAGTTTGGGCAACTTTTTTAGACCCACTTTGAAATAAAATAATTTTCCATAATATATGTGATAAAATTCAAATTAACGTTATTTTAGATATATGGTGTTGTCTGCTATATTGCTTCATGCTGTTTTTTCAAAGTGCTTTGCAATTGTAAAGAGACATGACTGCACTCACAGTGAAGCAGCAGTTTCTGAGTGAAATTCTTCAGAGAAGCAGAGGCACAATATCAATATGGTAATAAGTTAGTCATCTCTTAACATCAACAAGTCTGCTTCATGATCAGCGAGGTACTAGTAATTCCCCCCGTCTGCTTTTCAAATAACTTAAAGATGCAAAAATTATTAGAACTCGTGGGACCATGGTCTGAGTCATTCTTTTCATATTTCTGCCAGTCCTATGTAAGAGCTGTGAATAGTGAGGCTACCCCCTCTTCCTGGTGATTTTTTCCCCTCTGTTCTCGTCGTAGCTCACAATTACACTAAATGAATCTCTTTCCATTATCCTTAATTTATTCCATTCCCCTCTCCCACCCTTGGATTCTCCCTACTTTCAAGAAACTTGAAGATTGTGTCCCTACAACCTTCTGTTTTATATCCTCAAATGGTTCAGACCTAAATATTTTAATACATTGGCCAGTTTATTTCCGATGGCATTAAAAGTGTCTGCACAACTGTTCCCTTATTTATAAAGCTCACAGATGCTGCATGACCTGTAACGCTATACTAGCTAATGAGCTCTCCCGGAACAGTTGACGTGGAAGGATTCTACTTCCCCTTGGTTGCACGAACGAAGATGGAGAAAGAGAGACGATTACAAACAGAAATGATTTAATCCTCTTTCTCGGTGACCTTTGGGGGCTATGTGCTAAGATTTAAATTGAAGAGTAAGGGGATGGCGCGACTAAGGATCGCAGGGGCGGAGCCTCGTTCAGCAAATAAAACCCCTTGGTAAAGGGAAGCACGCTCGTGTGTGGAGGTAACACTCCCCTATAACCTGGAGATGGGGCAGTCTGTGCCATAGAACGGAGATCGGAAGAAGGAAAACAAGGACGAGACAACAAGCGAGAAAGAAGACATCTGGGAAAAGCGGAAGCAGAAGACAGGGAAGGGTAAAGAAACCACAGCAGGTGGAAACCAGATCTAGAGCAAACCGGTCAGATCCATAGTTTGATTTTCTGGAAAAGAAGAAAGTACTTGAGGATTGCCTTTTTTTTCCCCCTGCAGTTAATGAAAACTACTTTTATCCTCATTATAAAAGAAAAGACTAAGGGAAGGTGAAGGCTGCCTCTTTTTTATTAAGAGAAGAGCTGAAGGGAAATCCAGACCATCTTTTTGAAGCGGTTGAAATAAGCCACTGCCTGGTACACAGAACAGAACCGTCCTGGTTTCTGAAGATACATCCCTTTCAGGAGAGTTCCAGCCGAGTCGCTGGTACAGTTCTATTTTTATATTTAAATATATATGTCTCTCTCCTCCCCTTTTTAACAACACTTTCCTTGTTTGCAAGCACGAGTGACAAGAAAGTGTCAATACGGAGTAGGAGGAATATTTTCAGCTTTCTCTTTTACCTGCTTGTCTTTTTTAGTGGTCCCCATTTCGTTTTACTTTGAAAGACAATCTGTCTCAATATATTTATTTACACGCACACGCGTTTAGAAAGAGATAGCTTTTGGAGGTTGAAATCCTACTGAGAAAGATGGAAAAAGGAGCCAGGCACCGAAACAACACTGAGAAGAATCAGCCAGGTGGGAGAGAGTCAGAGGCCAGCCCCGAGACTGGTTCCGGAGGGGGCGGAGTAGCCCTGAAGAAAGAGATCGGATTGGTCAGTGCTTGTGGTATCATTGTAGGTGAGTCCAATTCCTTTTCCTATCGACCACTTCTCCCTCTCTCTGGTGGTCCTCTCCGGGACCTTAATCCCTCTAAAGCTTCCTACTCCTTAGGAAGGGGTCGTCAGTCGTGTGTGCTGTAACCTACCTGCACTGGTGAAGTTTGAGAAGTATAGGAAGTGATATATGTCATACATCTCCTCCTCCAAACCAGGCTCAATACTTCTGTCCAGTGTTCACGGAATGGAGCAAATCGGGGTGACAAACCTGGCTAATGGTCAGCCCTGCCTGGGAGCTTGCTGAAAATATAGACCTCTGGGCTCTACACTTGGAGGTTCCGATTCAGTAGGTTTAAGATGAGGCTGAAGGACCTGAATTTTTAACAAGCTTTTATGCAGCCACCCTCAGCAGGCTGTGGACTGCCTTATGAAGCATATTTAGTAGATATTTTGTTGTTTTATGTTATATGAAATTATGGGATGTGTAATAAAAATAGCAACGACAGCAATAATAATGCCTTGCCTTTTGATAGCTTTTTCCATCTTATGCAGCACTTCCACTGTGTGAAGTAGATGTGATGGGGCTGTTATTCTCATTTCACAGATGAGAAAATTATGGAAGAAAAGAGGGGACAGATTGTGCCTTTCTGTAAAAGGATAGTTTGCAGTTTCTCTAGTTGTCTTGTGGAGTCCACCTGTCTCTTAATATCTGCGGAAGATGCTGTGAGGTTCTTGAAGGGAGTGGGGAGTAACTAGAATGTAGAGTTGAGGAGGAACTGATGGGTAAAATGTGTGTCCCAGTTGGGAGGCTCTGAAGTTGGGGAGCCTGGGACCATGGTCCTGAGCATGCCAATGCAGGCCACTCCAACCCCCCGACTTCACCCTACAGGGCAGAGGGTCCCAAATACACTTCATCTCTGGAATACACATCCTCCTCTTTCCAGAGAAGCCCTGGAGATGGAAGGTGCAATGGTTCATTCCTGCCCTCACTTCAGAGGGTGAGTTTTTCTGCCGTTTAGGGTAGAGGACTTCACCTTCTTCCCAGAGAAAGGGGTGTGGAACAGTCAGGCTCAGATATGTTTCTGTGTCATCTCTCCAGAGTTCGTTTGCAAAGGCTTATTGTGTCCTGGTGCCCATGAAGCAGTTTCTCTTGATGACATGTTTTATGCAGTAGCTCAGAGACATTTTGGCACCCAAGCGATAGTGACACTAGAGAACACCATTAAAATCAAATAAAATCAGTACAATATTCAGATAATACTCTCCACTTCTGCACCCAGACTTTAGTGATCGTGTTATCTCCAATCTCTTTTCAAAATGGAATCCCATTTTATCTAATTCTCTGACTCTGGGAGGTTTTCCACGCATCTATAGTTATAAGAAAGATAATGTTATAAAAAAAAATTGTAGTTATGATCTGAATCTCTCATTACCTTTTCTCATTGCATTTTGTTTGCCTCTCCTTTACTTTGTCTCAGTTACTCTAAAAAGATGAGATCAGCCAAGTACTCTCTATGTATAGCACACGCCAATTTAAGGTCTAAAAATGGCCCAGAGTCTGGTACTTCTTTCACCAGTTTGCCTGATGGAATTAATAATTTTTCTTCCTTTGTGAATGTCTGGTTCATACACAGATGTGCACACCCACATGCACACAAGCACAATCAAATCCCCTACCTCCTGCCTCAGCCTTGCTCAGCTATCCCAACATATGTGTAGGTATCCAAGGATAGAGGGTATTTTCCTATATGCTAAGGTTTTTCTCTCTCCTTTTTAATATTTTTTCTAAGACTGAAGAAATGGGAGTGTTCGCATATAGTAAGTACAGTTTCAGTGAGGTGAATGTTACTGTTGACTTGACCACAAACTCATGGGTGGTACTTCAATGTGAAAATAGTCCCAGAACTCCCCACAGTGGCATTACAGTAACAAGAATAACAACTCTGGGGTTCTGTGGTAAAAAGAGATTTCAAATATGTGATTTCAGAAAAATCAGGATATTTTTCCAAAGTGTGAGAATCTTTGTAGAGTTAATAGACACTACCTCCATTCAAGCTAGAATGAGACAGAAATTTCCCCTTTAGGATGATAAGGAGGCAAAGTCCTTTCTGCTTTCCCTCCTGCATGGCTTTGAGTTGCAGATGTGCTGAGGAGCTGACCTGTTCTCTTCTAGAAAGGTTTCCAAGTGGATGATAATGACTCAAGTTTTTTCAAAACCAAATGCAAAAACGGAAATGGCGTTTTCCATGCAGAATTCAGTGATCTTGTGTTCAATGTCAACATTATGGCAGAAAGAGAATTAAAAGGCAAAAAAAGACAGGGAATTTCCTAAATGAATCAGGAGATGTAGAATGGGAAAGTAGCATTTGCCCCAAATCTGTCTCATACCCAACTGACTTAGAAAGACAAGTTAAACTATATGTTTTATATAAACTTATAAAATTTCACAATCATCATGGGTGATCATAAGTAGAAATAAGAGAATGGCAGGTTTTGTGGTAATATGAAGTGAACTAATAGAAAACTCATGCCCTAGCATTACTTATAATCTGATTGGAAAGATGAGATTCATATGCGTTAAACAGAGAACATGAAAATTAATGATATTGTTTAGTTGTGTAAGAACTGAAGGAGGGCAAATTTATGTGAATGGTGGGAGGCATAAGGACAGAGATTTTCACCAAGGACTAGATTAAGAAGCATCTTAAAGGATGTGGGGGAAAATGGAGTAGAGATGATTCTGGGAAATTTTATAGTTAAAAAGATAATGGCTAACCTGTTATTTCCTTGAGCAAAAATTGAGCCTTCTATATCTCTAAACCTTTATTTTGTTTTTGGTGTCTGGCTGGTATGGGGATCCAAACCCCTGACTTTGGTGTCATAAGGCTGCACTCTAACCAACTGAGCTAACCAGCCAGCTGGATATCCCTGATCTTAGTGCTTAGCAGAGTATTCAGTATGGAACAATTACTCAGTGACTGTTGAATTTAATTGACTCTTGGACAAAAATCTGAAGACAGTAGTAATATGAAGTATTTATCTGAAGGGCTGTTAGGAACCTGGCTTGAAAATCTTTAAGCTAGAAATAATTTAATCAACCTGAACGATTAGGTCGGATTGTTATAATTTTTTCACATCACCCTTGCCCTAACCTACCCAGGCAGTTGCTCTCCAGGTACTTGGCTAAGGAAACCTATTGATGGCAGATGGACTTAGATTTCACCATGCATGTGGTGTCCCCCCAAAATCTAAAGAGGGCATGAAAGATAGCAAAATTCATTTATTAATGATACCAAAACTACTGTTAATAGCTGGCATTATTAAATACAGTGTGTTTGCCAGGCACTCATCCAATTATCTGACATACGTTATCTTATTTGTCCCTCGCAATAACCCCTGTGTGGTAGGCACTTATTATCTCTTCCTCCAGATAAGAAAATAGAGGCTCGGAGGGGTAAGCAACTTGCTGAAGGTTACACACCAGAAATTACTGGAGCCAGGATTCCAGCCCAGAGCTTGTCTGGATCCTGAATCAAGCTCTTAAGCATTATTCTCTACTATTTCTGTTTTTATGTCCTATAGAGTTATTTTCCTTTAAAACCTGGGCAGAGGTCCTTATTCGTTTGTATAACAAAGCAATTAATGTTGTCTTCCCAGTGAGGAAGGTTTCCAGTGTAAGGGGGAGCTGGGCCATCAGCTGTGGTAGAAGAAGGTAATGCTCCTGGTGCAGGTACAGGAAGACTTGGGGTGAACACAGACCACGGTCTCATTGACTCCCCACCACACACACCTTTCCTGTATGGTCCTGCATTCTTCCTAGCCATGTTAGAGGACCCCACAGAGTTCGGGTGTATCAGTCATGTGCTTAGGTACGTAACCAGAATCTACATCTGAAGGCAAACAAGCCGGCTGCAGAGCCTAAAAATAATGTTCATAATGGTTTGTCAGACCATTTTGGTTTTGACACAATGTATCTTCATGGGGGAACTTGGTGTATGTGCTGCAGGACAATACTGGATCCAAGTCTAGCTACTATACCACTATCTCCTAAATAACATGATTTTTTAAAAATAGTATTTACAGGGACAGCCCGTGGCTCACTTGGGAGAGCATGGTGCTGACAACACCAAGTCAAGGGTTAAGATCCCCTTACCAGTCATCTTTTAAAAAATAAATAAAATAAATAAAAATAAAAACAGTATTTACTTAGCTCTTACTAAATGCCAGTTCCTGTGCAATCCACTTTTTGCATATATTATCTTGGTCTGCCAGTTAGCTCATTTGGTTAGAGCATGGTGCTGATAATACAGGGTTTGATCCCTGTTCCAGTCAGCTGCCAAAATAACAACAACAACAAAAACCCATATATTATCTTATTAATCCTGACAACAATGCTATGAAAGTAGATATTATAACTACCTGCTTTGTTATTCAACTTCTCCATATTTAAAATAAAGATAGTTATAATATCTACTTTCATACCATTGTTATCAGAGTCACACAATTGATAACTGAGATGGTCTGACTCCATATCCCAAATGCTTAACCATTCGCCATTTCTAATTGGTAACCAAGAGAGGAGGGAGGAAGGCTGATTGATGTATTGCGTGGTGGGTGGGCCATGGAGGAAGACAACCTGGAGATTGGAGTCTATGTAGACCATGGGTGTCTGATACTGAAAAAGTCAGGGGAAACCTTTTTTTAAAAGGATATTTGTCAACAGAGAAGTGTGGCTACAGGTATAACTGTACTGAAATGGCACTAGTCTGACTTGGAAAAAATGTAAGTCCAAAAGATTTCCAAGATAGTCCATGTGGTTTATACCACTTTAGAAGATTTTATATTTTAGTATCTAATATGACGTATTAGTTTCGAATCCCCATAATGTCTATTGGGTGTTGACCAGAGAGAGGCAATGTGAAAATTGCTTTCTGAGCTTGTACTTCAATTTAAAAAACAAAACATGGGGGGATTAGGATTTGGTTCATTCAGGATGAAAACATGATCAAAACTTTCATTGGT